TTTCATGGTAATTAACCTTGTTGTGAAGTTTGAAGTTAATCCGTTAATAATTACTCGAGATATCGAGCGGACACTGTTTCGGCAAGTAAAGGGGCATAACTCCAGAAATTATGGTCGGATAATGGCGGTTATCGAACTTGTCCCACGTTTCATGGTAATTAACCTTGTTGTGAAGTTTGAAGTTAATCCGTTAATAATTACTCAAGATATCGAGCGGACATCGTTCGCCCGCCCGCCCGCTCACGTGCGACGGGCGTATAAAAAGGTAATCAAAACACTGACATTTGAGTTTTAATTACGTTTTCTTGTGCTATTTGAACTTAAAAACTAATCATCTGTAGACATAAAATGGTGCATGGCTATCTATTCTAAGACTACATCATTGTTATTATAACCGATTTGTTGACACATTTATTAAGAAGTATTTTTGCAAAAAGTGATCAGATTTGGGTAGTGATCCGATTTGGGTACTGCCTCCTTACATTGGAAAAACAAAAAAAACAAAAAATATTCATGACAAATTTTTTTGCTTGTTTAAATTTTGTTTTGCTTGTAACTTTCAAATAAATTATTGCTTGTAGGTTCAAAATTAAGTTCAAACCTTGACTGTACACATTTATCTACCACTGAAGAAAATGTTTAGATACCGTTGTATTGTCTATCGATAAGAATCAGACTGGCTTCCCATTTCCTTGAAAATTTGAACACAGGCTCTTTTTTTTTCTTTTTTTCTTTTTCCAAGATATTGAAAGACAATTCTTACATCGCATTGCTGTTAAACAGTCAATGCATTGACTTCGAAAACAAATTAGACAGCTAAACAATTAAATGTTGGATATAGGAAACACATTTATAGACTATTCTGGTTTAATATGCAAAGATATTAAGTTGTGAGAGGGAACAAGCGAGTGTGAAAATTACTATTGTAAGATATTTTGTAATGCTGGAAACTTTGCAAAAAAAGGTTATATATATAAAAACATAAATAAATCATTTTCTGGGTTGTATGGGCTCCGAGAGACGCCTTGCTGCATTGTACGTACCTCTGTGGTTGAGGAAGTTGCGGACAAGCTTGATCACTCTGGATAAAAGTCCCGGCTTCATTCTCTGGTATGGCACATTACTGATCAGGATTGCTATACACTGGAGATAAGAACACAGACAATATGTAATATAGAGTCCAACTTCCATAAATCGAACTTCAAAGATTCAACCCTCCGAGGGGCCCTAACATTTTTATCTCAATCAAACACTCCATCCAGTGTTAATGTAACTTGCCCACTGGATGCAAACAAACGAATGAACAAGTCAACTACATATATATACCCTCTCTACTTCATAGAAAGGTGTCAAAACCAAATTCAAATCCCATATTATTATTTAAAAGACCTAAAAATATGCTTGGTGATTTTTGTAATTTCTTTAACTAGCCCCGGGCCTACCCCTCAAAAAAGATAAAAAGATAAAAAGATAAAAAATAAAACAAGAGGCCCAGAGAGGGCCTGTATCGCTCACCTGAATATGTTTAAAATAATTGGTATGAAGTAAAGATATAGCACTCCATGGTAGGTGCTGTAAGTACATATGAAATTTCAGAAAGATCCATCCAGTACTTGAGATATAACATATTTCAAACAGAGCCCCACCCCTATGCCCCTAGGGGGGTCATACCCACTGCTTATACAAAATTGAGACCCCTTGGCCAAAGGATGCTCCAGACTAAATTAGGATAAAGTCCCTTAATCCATATGGTAGAAGGATTTTAAAGGTTTTACCTCTATTTCCCCTATAGGGCCCAGCCCCTCAGGTCCCAGGGGGGCCACACCCACCGTTTATACAAAATTGGTTCCCTTTTACCCAAGGATGCTTCACACCAAACATGGACCAAATCTTTTCATTCCTACAGAAGAAGAAGGATTTTAAAGAATAATTTGCTATGTTTCCCCTATTGGGCCCCACCCCTTAGGCCCCTGGTGGGTCCGACCCATGGTTTATACAAAATTGGTACCCCTTCACCCAAGGATGCTTCAGACTAAATATGGAATAAATCCTGTCATTCCTACAGAAGAAGAAGGATTTTTAAGAATTTGCTATATTTCCCATATTGGGCCCTACCTCTCAGCCCCCAAGGGGGCCAGACCCACCGTTTGTACAAAATTGGTTTCCCTTAACCAAAGGATGCTCAACACCAAAAATGGACCAAATCCTGTCATTCCTACAGAAGTAGAAGGATTTTAAAGAATAATTTGCTATGTTCCCCTATTGGGCCCCGCCCCTCAGGCCCTTGGGGGGCCAAACCCACGGTTTATACAAAATTGAGTCCCCTTGGCCTAAGGCTGCTCCAGACCAAATTTAGTCAAAAACAACTTTGCCGTTCTGGACTAGTAGCGTTTTAAAGGAAAAGTTGACGGACGGACGGACACCGGACGCTGCAGTATGGCATAAGCTCACAATGGTCCTTCGGACCAGGTGAGCTAATAAAAATAAATCCTGACCAACCTACCCTATTTCCAAATAACACCAATCCTTCTTATAAATATAAAAACTTTCAATTTTTTCTAACAATATCTAGCTCCTGACATTGACAATCCGTCAGATTAAGTGACATCCATCCTTCTGTAGTTTAAATAATAGCCTTTAAACTAAATGGGGACCCTTTCAATATTTTTTCCAAAATTTAGAATAAGGAGATGATGGGAGACATTGAAATATACGTTTTGGTATGTACATTCCAAAATTTAGAATAAGGAGATGATGGGAGACATTGAAAATATATACGTTTTGGTATGTACAAAGTAAATGATACACATAGCAATGAGTTCTTCGCTAACGGTAAGAGGTACTACCCACCTTGATGAGCTGTGTGAGGGTGAGGGGATAGTTCTCCGACACAAGTGCCAGCAGTAAACAGCGATGCAGTTCTCGGATGGTCGAGCCGAGGATTGAGGAGAAAGGGGTAAAGGCAGTTATCTGATCACTGTAAGAGAAAAGAGATAACTATTGTTCAATTTCTTATCAAAACATCTAAAAATGTATTGTTTTCACATTTATCCAGAAATAAGCTCATGCCTAGTAATAAGCCCATTTATATATACTACAGTTCGGTATAAATGCCAATAAATGCTATCACATTGTATATCGTTTTGTAATAAGCCCAGCCCCTTCAGTGGCTATGCATAAAAGATATATTCGGGTATCTGTCCAAGGAATACAAAACAAAACACTACTATCATGACCAAAACTTGCAAATTATTGATTTATAATCCTCCACTGGACGTATATATCTAAGACAAACTTGTTAAGTTTTGGAGAGGTACAGATATTTTACTGGAATAGTCCTAACTTCGATTTTTTTCCATAGGAAAACATTTAATACTGGAGTTTAGGAAAATCCTTGAGTTAAAAAAAATCTTTATTACAGTAAGCTCAAGGCTAATCTATGTAAAAACTGAAGTTAGGAACATTCAGGTAACTGGGACCAGATTTGATGGAACTGGATCCAGGGCCCGTATTCATGAAAGCGAAAACCATGCTCAAGCATGTTTTTTGTGCTCAAGCCTAATTTTGTGTTTCATTTATAAATTGATAAAACAATCTTATTTTTTCATTAATTTGAAAACAATTTGCAGAGACGTAAAGCCGAATACTATTTTTAATGGTTACATTTGACTTTTTGATGGTTTGACATGATTTAAGTGAGTTACAAGAAAGCTGGTTTGAGCACAGAATCCATGCTTGAGCATGAGAACAGTTTCATAAATACGGGCCTGGCCTTTAAGTATTTTAAGTATAAACAACAGCGGTCATTAAGCATTATTTAGGTATAAACAACAGTTGTCATTGAGCATTATTTAGGTATAAACAACCGTTGTCATTGGGCATTATTTAGGTATAAACAACAGCGGTCATTTAGCATTATTTAGGTATAAACAACAGCAGTCATTAAGCATTATTTAGGTAGAAACAACAGCGGTCATTGAGCATTATTTAGGTATAAACAACAGCGGTCATTAAGTGTTATTTAGGTATAAACAACAGTTGTCATTGAGCATTATTTAGGTATAAACAACAGCGGCCAATGAGCATTATTTAGGTATAAACAACAGCAGTCATGTCAAGCATTATTTAGGTATAAACAACAGCGGCCAATGAGCATTATTTAGGTATAAACAACTGATAAAATCCAAAGAAACCATTCGTTACACACCTGTCCTCTGCTGCAGCTAGGAACGTCTTTGTTCCATCCACCAGGGCAGTCAGAGCAGCAAGAGCTCCCATACGACACTGAAATACAATAATATTAGACAATAACACACTGGTCAGTTTCGACCGATACACAATATGCTTTCTTATCTAACATTAATCTTTAGTGGTTTTTCTTAAAATACACTGTAAAAGCATATATTTTCGTTGGAGTTAAATCTTGTTGCTTTTGTAGAGGGACAAATACGTTAGAATTATATTTCATGGAATCAATATTTTAAAACACTGTATTTTGACAGGCGTGACGACACAGTGCAGGTAAATATAGTACAGGTACGTATGATCGGGCAAGATTTACTTACTCGATGGGTATCGGTTATATCCGTCACGCTCTATAGCATATATACAAAGAGCGATATACACATTATGTTTACTTTGTAGACTCACGTAGACTTACATGTACCTTGTCAGTAGTTGACAGAGGTTGAAGCTATTCATATAACTGCAGCTAATGATGCAATTGAAAAAGCCACAAGTAATTGGCCAGTGGCGATATTTAGACCGTTAATCATGACTTGTGTCTAAATGTAATTACACCATGTGTTTGTAATAAAATTAATACTTTATTTAACATTTTTCTTTAAGTATATATTTCGTGTGTTTAAAATTTTGTTGGGATTAAATATTTCGTGGTTTTTATAAAACCATGAATGAACGAAATTAAATCCCCAACGAAATATTATGCTTTTACAGTACTGCAATTTAAATGAAGAGAATGTGTAACAACAGCATTTTTTTAAGAAGGTTATTCTAGAATAGGAACGAGAGGAGAGGGAGATAACCTAATAAAAAATATATGTTGGTGAGAGGGTATGCAAAGCTGTGATTGAGGCTTATAAACCTTTGGAGACGGATCCTTCAGTATGATCGTGAATAGTGTCTGGACCTGCGGACTGTTTCCGGCCGCACTGGAGTCCGGAATAAAGGATGACCAGTATCCAAACATCAGCCTGCGGTCAGTGGTCTGTAGTAAAAATAAAGGCAGTCATGTTACAAGTGAAGTTCACTGACCTTACACGACATTCACAGAAAGGTAGGTTTGGAAGTCTACCACCACACACATTATTTAATCTTTTGAACTGGACAACAAGTTTTCATAGTTACACTTTACAGAACCATTCAGACAGCTTGTGCTGTGAAACAGAAAAATATCATTTTACTTTTTTCTTCCTTAACTCATTCACCCCTGAAGACGCATTTGAACTTGTCCAATTCAATGGTTGGAATAGTTCATTATGAAATTTCAGGGGAGTAAACAATAGAGCAAAAACATCATAAATAATGTCAACAAACTGATAGTATTCAAATTCATGTTATACAGTATTCTGTTAAATTACAATAATGCGCTAAAATTTGAGTGCGCTAAAATAAGTATATATTCACAGAATATTTTGGAGCTTTTTATGTTTAACAATGTTTTGCCATTCACAAAGAGTTAACAGAAAGAAAATTATGTTTTGATGACATATATCATCAAATGAATTTGTTCTGTTCATAGTCTTAACAATTAAAGGGTCACAGCACAGCTGGTAGCAGTAGATCAACCAATACCTTCAACTACTTCAGATGACAGAGTTTGGTTGTGTGAAAATGATCATTGACAGACCAGCAAGGGTCCGGTCCTGCCATGTGCCTGCCCCACCCCCACCCCACCAGTCTCTTTTTTAGTAACTAGGCTTTTTTTAAAGTCCAATTAATTTGACCCAAATTCATTTTCCCCAAAATGATTTCAAGATTTAACAATTAAAAAAAAATATATTAAATTTTTAATCCTTAAGAAGGTCATACAACTGACCATGAGTAAAGAGAAATATTCAAACAAGCGGTAAACCAGTTTTGCATGTTGTTGTTTTTCGACACACACTGAGCTGATACGTCCATGACCTTGACCTTGGAATCTTTTAAAACCCTAAGGCCGTATTTGTTTAATTGGTCAAACCTGTTGGACCACAGTTGTTTGTTTATTAAATAAGGTCGGACCTAGAAATCTGATGCTGTTTTCAGGCGAGCCTTGATAAAGCCTTGCAAGGCCTACATAAACATTTGCAGGTCTGCCAGGAATTATACCTGAAAATGTTGCATTTAAAGACGGTCAAACTGGTTGTTCCGCGCACAAATGAACAGGTCCTTAGTGCACATTAAAAAAAAAAGGTTTATTTGTGTCAACATGTCAAATTTCAAAAATATCAGTCTTTTGGATTCTGAGATTATTTCCCAAAAAACCAAGTGTGGACAGACAGACAATATGATTACAATAGGGAAGCCGCATCTCTCATTTAATGTGAGTGAAAATTTCCTTTAAAATAAAAAAAACTGTCATACAAACCTTTATCACTGTGTGAAGGCATACAAGTGCACACTGTCTGACCTTTGTGTGGTGCGACCTCAACCTCGACCCCTGACCTCCCTCAGTGTCCGAATAATCAGAATCAGAACTACCAATTTTAGCCCAGACTGGTCTTGTGTCAACTGCTGCATCTAATCCGACAGTTGTAACTGACCCTTGACCTTCACTTTGACCATTATCTGAGGTCAAAGTAGTCCTGTTACCATCCTGACTTTTGTTCGATTTTTCTGGCGATTTCTTTGCCTTCTTCTTCTTAGATTTTTTACTAGCTTGCGACTTCGATGCTCCCTGGGTTTCCTCTTCTGGTTTTTGTTCACCGTGTGGGGTTGATTGTCCGGATGGAGACGTGTCATACTGCCTCAGAGGTGTTGGGTAGAGTCGTTCAGGAATATTCACCGGGAAACTGGACAAACCATGGAACATGTACGTCTAAAGACGAACAAAAATAAATAAATAACTAGTAAAAGAAAGGTCGGCACATCATGATTGGAAATACACAAAGCAAGCACACATGTGGCAAAATAATTAGAACCATTTCTGGACACTACAAAGTCAAATAATGTAGAATAACTAGCATCCTAGATCCAAGGTGAATATCACACTGAAATAAGTGTAACCATGTTTTCTGCTAAGGATTGAAGACTAGACATACTAAATAAAATATACAAGTCTTGAAACTTTTATTTTTGAAGTTTTCATTATAGAAAATCTATAAGGCCATAAAAAGTAAGACACTTTGTGTAAAGTGACTGAAATCTACACAAGCTATTGCCTAAAGCTCCTTACTTCAATTTTCAGAATGAGAAGACAAAATGACATTTTTGGCAAATATGTGCATGTTATGATCCTTGTTAGCAGAGACATCTTTAGGGCAATCTAGAGTATTTGATATTTATGTTTCCCTCATTTAGAACATGTATACAATACAATGTATATGACTTTTAAAACCAGAATTGGTTGACAAATGATATCATAAAACATTGATCAGATTCATGACTGACTAATGATTAGTTCAGAATTAAAGTCAACTTTATACACACTGTATAGTTGTTAAATGTCGCGGGTAAATTTCACAACTTCGTGTCTAGAACTTAGCAACGAACAACCGGACATTGTTACTGAACACAGGTCTATACCTGTTCCCGGTGAGCGAGCTGTTTTCAATAAATTCTTTAGTATGTCGTTGCCCGAGTTGTTATTGTCATTGCTTATAATATTTCTTTGTTCTGCTCAAGTTTATATGTATAAGCTTACTTATTAATGCCTACTGGGCTAATAGTCTGCATGCATGGATTCATTGTGACCCAAAATATAATGAGACTGATGGATTTATCTGTTGTGTATGATTGATTTTGTTTTTTGAATTTTAATTCATCTGTTAACTTTTTTGTATAGTGTGCTTCTCTCAAGACGATGTTTTGACCTAGTAGTCCAAGTTCAACTGATATCACAGACGTGTGAAGCTTGGATCTTATGGCAATGATCTCAAAATATTCACAAAGGTTTTAATGTTGGAAATTTAAACTCATTCACAAAATTCGTATATATAGTATTTTGATCCTGTTTTTGAAACATTTTCTGTGGAATGACAAAATATTTCTTGGTTTGAAATTAACACATATCTACTAGCATCATGAATTTTAATTCTAAAAGTATGAGAATGCTAGTTCAAATATTCCTCAATTGAAAATTTCTGCAAGGTGTTTTTTTTGCCTTCCTGGCGACTCCATAAAAATTCAACAATGATAATCACCAACATGTCTGCAATATATCTATATAGCCCTATATATATATGCATCATTGCTGGTTTATATTAACCGTTTCTGTTCTTAGTTTCATTTCTTCATTCATAAAGTCTAGAGCGAGACAGTTTCTGTTCTTAGTTTCTGAATTACTTAGTGAATTTTTTTATCATTTGCACAACATTAATACACTGTAGTGGTCATTGTGACTAAAATAGTTAATTTCGACTCCTGTATTTTGACATTAATTGGAAAGACAATTTGTTTAACCCTTTCACCACTTTAGACCATAATGGCCTCATCCAGATCAATGAATGGTAGAGTCTACTAAAGTTACATAGGGGTGAAAGGGTAAATTGGTTTCATATGGAGCAACTTCATCGAAATTCTGTAATAATTTCTTACTTTAGATCACTCGTTTTCTCAATTCTGTGTTTAAGTTTCTTTTTTCAATATATAGCTTGATTTAAAGATTTTCCGGGACTTATGATTGCGATGATCATTGTTATTGCTGAAATTTAATTATTTAAGATCAACTGGTTTTTTTTTACATTCACTGCAGCAGCAAAATAGTGACTTTTTTCCCCGGTATTGTTTTGTAATCAAGGTTATTTATTAAGCTTTTTTTTAAAGCGAAGTCAGTAAAACGTGACTAGTGGTTCGTTACTGTGACATGCTCCCCCTCTATAGAAAGACATCACCCTTGAATCTCCCAAAGCACCACCATTGTTAACTGTGAGAGCGAAGCTAAGGAGATTGCCGTACTGTGAATCCTTATGACATACATGGGTACCAATGCAACTCGGGTCTGACAGTGTTTTCTCCGGAGCGAAGGATTATGTAGTGTGTACATACTATATATATCTAACTTACCCGGATTCCAGCCAGCAGGCTGCCAAGCTGATCTGTAGGCATGATCTTGGTGGCTCCTAGTATATTCTGTAGACCGCGCAACGAACAGATCAACACCTTCAACACAAAACGTATAACAGTTTTAATAGTAAAATAAACAGCATTTGATGTACTGTATAAGTGAAATTTTCATCTAGTCAAATTATCGCCCTTAACAGGTTAAACCTTGTTAGCCCAGTGTTAAATTTGCCCTTCTTCTAAAATTACTATGTATGGTATATATGCTACGTTTTATATTTGCTCTCATGATAAATTTGCTGTCATTGCAGTGGTCAAAAAAAGGACAAAGATTAAACTGTGATGAAAATTTCCCTGTAGACAGCGTTTCATTTTCACTTTTTCTTTCACTTAATTGAATACGATTGGAATCAATTATAAGCAGTACATTTATGTATCTACTTCTTCAAGCTCACGATGATCTATTAAATCTTCCAAATGATTCACTTTCTGGAGGCCTTTTGTCAACACAATTCTTACTACACTATAAATACATTTAACAATTCATGAATCACATTTCAAGTTACAAAGACATGATTTTAATCCAGCAACAAGCTCTATAAGTTTGGTTTGAACCTTGAAGATATGGATTTTCAATTTCTGTTTCCTGAGAGTGCTTAACTCCTCTAGAACTCTGCCTATCTGAATTTTCTCTCAAGTTATTGATAGATCTACATATTAAGATCATTTATGTCCTGGGGAAACTTGATTTATCCTTTTTGTAATTCTTATTTCAAAATTTAAACAAAATTGGTACAGTAGTTTTTAAGTGAAGGTAAACCACCTCTCTACCCTCCAGGGCTGCCACACCTGTGTTTACAATGTTGAATCCCCTTGACCTTAAGACTAATAGAATCTTCCCCTACCTTGAGGGTGTGACAGAGAAATCTCCAACCCTCGGGATGATATTCTCGAATGTCGTATTTGAGGCTCTTTACGGAGGGTAAGACTTTCGAGAATATCATCCCGAGGGTTGGAGATTTCTCTGACACACCCACAAGGTATGGGATGATTGCTTTTCTCCCATCCTGCTTCACTCACAAATCTGCCGACAAGCGGTGATTGCATGAAATCTAAGCGTTGATTGCATGTTTTTCTAGCAAATCCAGAGTTGTCTTCCATGGTCTGCTACGGTTGACATGACGTCAATGCATTGATGACGTGACGTCATACTATTGTTATGACTTTGATCATGCCATTCTGCACGAGGCTATATCCCCCTTGGATGTGACAAGCTTATCTAAACACCTGTTTAGGGTGGGAGAAAAGATGCTCCAAACAAAAATAAGTTAAAATTCCTTTTTTCCTGAAGGAGTGGATATAAAAGATTTAGGTACCTTTAATTTATTAAACAGACAATGTGCCATGACAAAAGCAATGGCACCCTTTTGGCCAGGGGATATAAAAATGTCAAGGAAATGTGAATTTTTTATATCTTGGGAAAGTAAAGCACTGTATAATCATCTAATGAGAAATATTGTGATTTGTGTTGACAACATGGTCACTCCACAACCATTTCATTGTACAGGTACCTTGCATTTTATATTCGTCTCAATCTTGGAAGCTCGGACTGTGTGTAGAATGTTCATGAACACTTCAAAGCAAGTCAAGGTGTGGTGATCCTCTAAGTAAGACTGACCCGCTACTCTGTAACATCACACCAAATCAAAACTTTACACTTAAATGTTTAAAGTATACAAAAACTGCATCAGTGTTCTCCCCGGCTGTTTTTGCAGCATGGCACCATGCTCCTATAATTTCTTGCCATGCTGCTATCCTAGATCTTCTCTGCTATATATTCATAGTAAATCTAAAGTTACCATGCTGCTTTGATTTTACATAGAGTGCTGCTTTAACAAAAATATTGAAATACCACGCTTCTTTCAAAACATTCTGGGGGGAAAACTGCTGCATTACATATTACCTCAATTCCAGACGTTCTGAAAGGTCGTCGCACTATGTCAAAGACTACATATATACGAATGAAAGAAAAGATGTGTAACAAATGATAAGGTGACTTAAAAGAATGATACCACTAAGTAAATAGCTAGAAATTATTTTTGTATACAGAGTTACAGTACGTGTGATGTTATATGTCTACCGGGTTTTAAATTATCTTTTTATACATGTACATAATAACAGTATGTGTTATTTCTGTTGTACATAATTACAGTATATGTTATTTCTGTTGTACATAATTACAGTATGTTATTTCTGTTGTACATAATTACAGTATGTTATTTCTGTTGTACACAATTACAGTATATGTTATTTCTGTTGTACATAATTACAGTATATGTTATTTCTCTCTACAGGGTTAGAAATGTTTAATTGTCACACCAATCCCAAACAACATGTATAATAAATTTTAGTATTTAAAAATATGTGTTGTTGGATCTGATAGGTTCCTTGTATTTACCTGACAATGTATAAAATAATCGTTAATTCACTTACTTGATAGTGAGGTTCTCGATGCACTGGATGACCCCTCGCAACACGGCCTCATCACCGATCGGATCAGACAACAGTGGAATCAGTACGCCCTGTTGTTTGTTCAACAACGTGTCATGGTACTGTAAAAGATATTGATTTGTTCGTTAAAAATCATACAATGACATAATATTAGGTCTCTCAGATCTGGATCTTAATTTTAAACGGATGAAGGTAACACACTCACATGCGAATGCACCTTTGAAAAATAGACAGTATGCCGAAAATGAATTGAGATAGAATGCAGCATACAGCTGTTTTGTCCTTCTAGGACTCACCGGCGATGGCAAGGGCCAAAAGGTTTGATATCCAACTTGTCTTAACTGCTGTTGAAACAGAGGGCAGGTGGCCTGTTTGTTTATGCGAAATAACCGGTTTGTCCGTTTATAAATGTAACAATATTGGGTATAAATCCTGGCAGACCTGCAAATGTTTATGAAGGCCTTGCAAGGCTTTGTCAAGGCTCAACCTAAAAGCAACATCAAATTATTAGGTCCACTCAAAATGCGAATTCGACAAAAACTACCGAATGAGTACAACATTTGAAAGGAATTCCTTTATATAACAAGGTTACCGCGAGCGGTATATAATACGCCCGTCACACATTGAATGAGCAGTTGTTTGTATGATTGAAATATATGAAGTATTTGTGAGTAATTGATATTAAAAGAGAAATCATTCAACATAACTGGTAGATCAATGAGTGCAATACAACATCATGGAACGCATGCATCGCATTAATGAAACCAAGGGTAATAACTCCA